CTGGACCAGATAAGCCAAGAACAGAGAGCGTGACCTGAAACAGCCAGCCTATTCCGCAAGACCCAGCACACGCAACCATAGACTTCATGGCTCCTCCATGGCCACACTAGCCGGCAGCCTTTGAAGCCTGCAACAGCCTCCCTCACGCCTTATCTTTCCACACACCCTCCCTCTGTCTGCCCTCTTCCCCCATGCATCTGCTGTGCCCCTCTCTCCCTCTACCTCCCGTATTCATTTTCTCATCTCTGTGCCTGTGTCTCTGGCCCCCTCTGCTCTCTCTACCTGTTTCATCTTGACTGTGGTGGCAGTGCTTGCGGGGACTCGGCACTGCTTAGGGCTCATTAGGCGCCAGAGCGAGAGAGGGGAAACAGATCTAAATTATCCTTTTCATTCTCTGACAGCCTCACCCCTCACTCATCTCAACTCCAGCTCTGAGCCTTTCATCTGCACGCACACACACACACACACACTCACACACACACATACACACAAACACACACAAAACCTTTCTTTCTCTGAGCTGCTCTGTGATAGTTCTTTATGATCAAGCCTGAATGTCAACCAACACTATGTTTTCTTTATTCTCCAGCTGACAGTGAAATAATACATGTGAATTATGACTCATGCCGATCTCTGTCTTTCCCCTCCGCCCGCCTGCCGTTCTCTTTCTTTCTTTCCATCCCTCCTTCCTCCCCAACTCTCTCATTCCCTCTGTTCTCCCGCTCTGTATCATTCAGTGTCTGTCACTGTCACTGTGCGTGCCTTTGGTGCGCCCCGCAGGCACAGTCACGTAGCGGCGGCTGACATGAGGATGTGGCCGTGGCTGGCTGCACCCTGAAGAGCAACTAGAGAACACTTTAAAGGCTGCTTGACAGCTGGGTGAGAGATTCTCTGCAGCCCCTGAGGCCCACGCACCTCTGGCTTCAGACACAAGCTTTACGTGCAGACACCACATACATGTGCGTTGGAACAAGGGAACCAAATCTCATGTACTGTAGAAAAGCAAGCGCATTGTGCCACAAAACAAAATACCTTGTATGCACTAGTGACACATGACAACACAGTATCCTTTGATCATGACCACCAAAAGAACAGTGTGTCATATATGGTAAAGTTTTTTTTGAAGAAAAATACATTACCTCACACAATACCTAAATCTACCTATTCTGTATAAAAAAGAAATCTTCCACAATCTTCCTATATGAATACATTTCTACAATTATGCAATAAGAAAGAATTGACATTTGCATTAAGTTGAGAACTAAATACTGGTATTTGTGAAAGCCTGCTTAATAATTTATGAGATAAACGAAAGTTAGTCTAATTCATTTTTCTGCTTTTCAGATGTTAATCACTAAAATACATGTTGAGATGAAATACTTTGTCTGTTCTGAGCCTAAGAAGCAGAGAAATAAAATAGATACAAAGGCCTACAACAGTTGAAGGCAAGTATATCACTAGCTCTCTATGCAACCAGTCAAACCGCTACTGACACTTTAGCAGCAACCAATGTTCAAGACTAATAGCATCAAAACAGTAACACTGAAAACTATGAGGGGTCTACATATGATGAAAGGTCCAGACATTTCACACTGAGATACTTGCATTTAGTTTTATAGCCTCCTGACATGCTATTCAAAGGTCTACCAACATGACTGTGTTTTTATTAGAATTCCTCAGCCAGCACTATTATAGTGTTTATAAAGAATGTATAACACTGTATAAAATCATATGTTGTAAAATGCACCATTTTAAATACTCTGTATATGAAGCTACAATATCTATTTTTTTTGTCTTAGATATGGTTAAGGTCCCTTTTGTTTTTAGATTATACAGATTTGTGTGTGCAGTGTATACTTATACTATACAAGTATGCTTTGAATATGACAAAATGATTAGTTTATTATCCCATAGATGTTTTGTTTTCACACAAAAAAATGGTCTGTTCAAGTTTTACATTTTACAACTTTGCCTTTGCAGGTTAATATTGTTATTCTGTTAGTTGTTGTTCAATAAATAAAGAAAGAAAGCGTGGAGAAACTGTTTTACCTCCATTAGTCGCTACAATGACGGCATTGATTTAATGACACTGTTGTGTTAATCATTGAAAAGTGCATCTTGCAGTGTGCAATGCCTCTTTTGTTTAAGATTGAGACAGCAATGTACAATTTCCTTTAATGTAAAATCACAGGAAGATAACTTATGGAATAGTGTGTACACTTGAAGTGACAGAAATTATGTCTGCCTATTAGCAGTTAATTGGTATCCTAATAAGTCTTCCGATGCAGCCTTATCATTCTGTATTACTGCGCAACACAGAATGACCATCAGACACAAACACACACACATATATATATATAATACACATACACTGATTTTAGAGGTCACATGTTGTTCACAGTGTCTGCACTAGTTTGGAGCTGCCTTTCTATTCCTCCTTCCAATTAATCTGTTTTGGTAGGCAAAAAACAAAAAACAAGCAGTGTAGCTTGAAGAGTAAAAAAAAACACAAAACTACCAGTAGGAATATAAAAAATAGAAAAACTGAAGGGAAAAAATCCTTGCCAACTTTTCGGTCTGGGTAGGTTGGCCAGAAATAATTGGCTGTCAAGGATAGTGAAGGCACTGTTCTTTTTCACAGCCAGAAAAAGGAACAATACAAGGACAGTGCGGGGGACAACAGGGGGACAGGGTGGAGACAGAATGGCCTGTCGCCTTTGTTTTCATTAAAGCTCAACAAGCAGGCCTGCAGAGGGTGTACGGGTCATTGCAGGCCCAGCTAACTCTAATAAAGCAGGCGAGGAGGAGGAGAGATAGAGGAGATGTATTCCTGTTCCCTTGCATTGACTCCCTGCAGGGTGAAATATACAACTGTCCTCTTACACAAGCTGCAATTTTCTAGGATTCAAACTGGGTTTGGGTCGTAACACGGTGGGTGTGCCTGAGCATGAGGTCTGTCAATGGGTATGGGCGAGGCTGGTGGTGTGGACATTCAGCTCGCATCCATGGATGCTTCCACTTATCACATCCTTGGTGACAAATACATCCTGCACTGACATAATGAATTTTTGAGGGGCCAAGCTGCAGGTTTTTATTTCACCATAATCTGTAGGGGACAATGAAGCATGAGACGAAGGCGTGTGTCAACCACTGTGTGAAAAGATCCTTTGGCAGCTCATTGCAAAGAACCCTCTGAGAAAAGTAGATACAGAGGTGTGAAGAACAGCTAGCAGTAAACAGAAAAAAATGCCTTGGCGTGTATCCTGATAGTTTGCACAGACATACACACACAAATGCTGCTTTACCTATACAGCACAGAAGCCAACACAGACGCATAATGCGCACACAAATTCCCCCTGTGCACTTATAACACATAAGCACAAAAGCCCAAACACACATACACACTTGCACACACACAACCTAATAAAAATGTGGCAAAGGCTTAGCAACAAATAGGCTCTGAATTTCATATTCATGAATTCACAAACTCTAAGCCTATCAGCTCAGGCAACAAAGGCAATCCTCTCTCCTGTTCCCCCTGACACACTCACCTTCCTGCAGGTACATGACAGCCTGTGAGTAGTTTTGCAGTGCATGGTGTGTTCTCCCCAGGCTGCCATAGGCCAGTGTCTTGGCAGCCAAGTCATTAGTCTGAGCCGCCACACTTAGGTGCTGTTCCTGGAACACGACCGCCCGCTCGTAGTTTCCAAGCGACTCGTAGGTAAGGCCCAAGTTCCCATAGGCACGGGCCTGGCGTGTGGGGCTGCCCGTTTCCTCTGCAATCTCCAGGTCACTTTGGTGGCATCGCAGGGCTGTCTCATACTCTCCCATAGCTTGATATACAGCGCCCAAACCGCAGCTGGCATCGCCTTCCAGTAGCCTGTCCTGGGTGTCACGGGCAATGGCCAGCTGACGCTCCAGACAGGAGATAGCCTGCTCGTAATTGCCTAGCTGGCTGTGCAGTGCGCCTAGTTCACCGTAGGCCTGAGCCTTACCTCCACATTCCCCCAGCTCATGAGCCACTACTAACCGCTTCTCAAAACACACCAGCGATTGCTGTAGGTTTCCCATGGCCCTGCAGGTAAAAAGAAAAATTCAAAGAGCGTCAAAGCAAAGCAGATTAGGAGTGAGATTTGTGAGACAAACCAACAAAATAATCTAGAAGAAAATCTGTCACTGGTATTTTCTGTTCAAATTGAACAAATAATGAGATAGCTAACACTCAAAATAAATCTCTAAAATGTAATAATCTAAACTATATCTCTCTGCTTATCTAATATTTTGGGGAAACTATATTCTTGATTCATACAGATACATATCTATTCTCTTGTAATAGAGCGCTATTAGAATGCAACAAGGAGTTCACATCGCAAGAACACTATTTTTTGCAAAGCACCCGATAATTTCAGTTTTGGTATAAATTAAATGTAGATAGAACACGCTGCTGATACCTGATGATGTGGACAAACTTCAATGTATGTGGAAGGTTATATGAGAAATGTCTGAGCACTAAAATTTTAACTTTGGGCTGTGTTTGAAGGTTACTACTGTTTACCATCCTTTTATACAAGATAGGTCATCTGTCAAAGGATCCTTGCTTCCATCCTCTTGTGTGTGTGTTGACAGAGTGGCATTAATCCCATCTCAACATTTTATTTGCCTTCACAGCCTTCAAACAGACTTTATTCACATTCTCAGGCATGCCAACAATTGCCGGATGACGGATGAAATGGAGCATTTAAAGAATAAAACCCTTCATCTTAATTAATGTTGTGTGATTATGTATGTGCTTGACTAAGAGCTGTTAGAAGGCGAGAAGGGTTTGTGTCTGATGTCTATTATTCCCCTCTGAACTCATGCATGGCTAATACTGCTGTATGTGATTGCTTGGTGCCATGCTGATGGTGCACAATAAGAAGAAAATCATCTCCGAAATGAGGATTTCAGCAAGCCTTTCGTGTTTTATTTTGCAGTGCAGTCTCCTAGGATGCTATCAGCTCTTTGACGCATAAGGAGAAATAGAAGGGAGAAGAGACACACGATGTAAGAGGTTGCCTCGAAATAACTGTGTTTCCCTCCATCTCAGACGTCTATGTGCCAAAGCCTCTTTGCATACAGATAAGGCCAGGGCCACTAGGCTGCTGCTGAGACAGCTAGCACCAGGCTCACATCCAAGCCTTGCTCACAGGCAAGGTGTCTCTAAACTATGGTGGTCCTTGATAGTGAGTGCAAGGAGAAAAATAATATGCAAAGCAGGATTACTGTGATTATTAGTAATACCCAGTCAATACTATTATCTGCTACTGCAACAGCTTGGGGAAATTGATACTGGTGACTGAGACTGAAAAGTACTTTCTAGCAATATAATATAGTTAGTTTGAAACATGATGCCTTTCATTTAAAGAGGACTCACCTGTGTCCATTGCCTAAGCCTCTATAGGCCTTCTCTTGGTCCTGCATGCGGTTGAGGCTCTGGGCCACTGACAGATACTGGTCATAGTACTTGATGGCTTCCTCAAAGTCTCCCAGAGCCTCATAACAGTCTCCTAGGTTTCCATAGGCTCTGCCTCTGTCCATTACTGCCTCATTGCCACTCAGCTGCTGTAAAGTGGCCAGCTGTTGCTCCAGGTAGCCAATAGCTTCCTCCATCACACCTACATTCATTTTAGTGATGCCCATATTTCCGTACACCTGAGCCTCCACGACAGGATCCTTCAGCCTCCGACCTAGCTCCAACTGCTCTTCGTAGCTCTTGAAGGCCATGGCGTACTTCCCCAGGGCCATGTAGACAGCTGCCAGGTGACCATGGGCTTTGCACTCTCCTGGCATGTCGCCCAGCTCTTGATAAACCTCCAGCTCCTGGGTGTGGTAGCCCAGAGCTTTGTCATATTTTTGCACAAGTCTGTAGGTTGCCCCCAGGGCAGCATAGGCACAGGCCTCCATCCTACGCTCCTTAACCTGAAACGAGATAGAAGCATGAGGGACATGAGTGAACGGTATCAAAATTACATTTTCTGACACTTCCTATTTATATGATGAATTGTACTAGTATATGTTATGCTTCATTGTGTGTGGCCATACCTGGTGAGCTAAGGCCAGTTGCTGCTCGTAAAACTGAATGGCTCCAGCCACATCTTTTTTACAGACAAATATGTCCCCAAGGTTCCCCAGAGCTCTGAAGCGAGCCTGTGCATTGTTCAGGGACTGCGCCAGAGACAGCAGGTATTTCTGACACTCCTCTGCCTTAGTGAAGTCTCCCAGGGCCTTAAAAGCCAAACCGAGGTTACAGTATGCCTTGGCCTGACTCAGTTTGTCATGAAGGTCCTTGGCCAGAGCTAGGTCCTGCTCATAGTATTTGACGGCATCCTGGTAGTTGCCCAGACAGTAGTGGGCATAACCCAGATTGTGACAAACTTTCCCTTCACTCTCCATGTCTTGGAGGTCAGGGGACAGACGGAGGTACTGCTCATAGTAGGGCACGGCCTGAGGGAACTCTCCTCGAGAGCAGTGGAAGTTGCCAAGGTTGCCTAGAGCCCGTGCCTCGCTCTGGACATCTCTGAGCTCACGGGCAATGTTGAGGTGGTTCTGGTAATGTTGCAGAGCGCGGTCATGGGCTCCCAGGGCTTGGTAAGCCACAGCCAGGTTTCCATGAGTGGAGGCCTGCGAGGCCCGGTCATTGACCTCCATGGAGATCTGCAGTTCCTGGCGGTGGTAGCGAACAGCCTGGTCAAATGCTCCCAGGGCATTGTAGGCGTTACCCATGTTACCATAGGCCCGACCCTGAGCAGCATAGTCATTCAGCTCCTGAGCAATGGCCAGATGAGTTTTGTGGAGTTTCAGTGCAGTCTCATAGTCCCCCTTCATCTGGTGAATGATGCCTGTGTAGAGAGGAAAGGTACTTTATTTGTCACATACACATACACGTAGAGAGATTCACCCTCTGCATTTAACCCATCCCTGAAGGAGCAGTGGGAAGCCGCTGTGCAGCACGCGGGGACCAACTCCAGATCTATATCAGTTGTTTTGGTCAGTGGCACTCATTGAAGATCCTAACATGTTTTTGATAGAGGGGGAAACCGGAGCACCTGCAGGAAACCCACGCAGACACGGGGAAAACATGCAAAATGCCAGTTCATACCCCAGGACAACCAGGGTTTGAACCAGGGACCTTCTTGCTGTGAGGCCACAGTGCTATCCAAGAGCAAGAGGATAAAGTTAAAGACCCAGTCAGGGGAAAATTGTAATTGAGTAAAATTCAAGTGCCTCGTCAGCTCTTCATGTACAAGGCAAGTAATTTGGTTGTTAAAATATGCTCTCTGAGCCATCTGTTCTCTGCTTACACAACAGACTCTCCCACAGAATTATGGTCATTAAAATGTAGTGCAATCAAACAGAGTTATTATAACACCAAAATAGAATCTTTTGATAGCCTAAGCTGTCTTTGATGATTGTGTCTTATAGGGATTTTACCAAAATCAACAACTTTTCCACAGGTTTGGAAATGGTTATGAGGAAAAAAGAAAGAAAGACAGACAGGGGAAGTAAAAGTGGGTGAAAAGAGCTGATGGAAAGCTCAGCAAACAACTTTGGAAAAATTGTGGAGAAACAATAAATAATGGAGAACCTGGTGCATTGAGCATATTATCTCTGATAAAATACAATCCTCTGAAAAATAATAGCTTTACCCCACAGCCAGGCAACCACCTCACGCACACACACGCACACACACACACACACACATACACACAACATCCAAACAAATGTGCACCCACACCCACATGCTCATACACACTGACAAATACACAGCAGAGAGTAAAGAGACATCACAGCAAATCTACCGTATCTCTCCTCCTTCTGAGACTCACTACTAATCTCTGGGTCTCTCTTCTCTGGCATTGTCACCCAGCCTTCAATGATAGTAATTGCACTGATAATATTAAACCTCACTGAGAGAGAAGACGGGATGCCTACAGGCTGGCGGATGGAGACAGAAAAACCAGCTGAAAAGCAAATAACTCAGTACTATATCCACCATACAGCCTGGCCATCATTGGTTTGCTGCATCAGCATGGAGACTAATGGGCTAGTAGGATGGGGGTACAGCCACTGATGGGACACCAGGGATGGAAATGGTTCTGGAGCCAGAGTGGGTGGGAACCAAGAATGGAGAGGGGCTCTGTGGCTTGTGGTGAGAATGTGATGGTGCCGCCGGGATTAGTTACCGCCATGTGTGTTTTCCCATTTATCTCATCCGAAACCTGCCACATTATGGGCCTGAACACAGGCTACATAAACAGTGGGATTGAAACTAAACAGACTGCTCAAACGACTGCGGAGGTCATACGATAGATGTAGATATGCATTCAGATGTTGGCTCAATTAAAAAGCAGGCCAATGAGAATGGAAAAAGCTTTGGCGCCTTTATAGTATGAGCCACTGGGCTGCATATTGGTTTGACACATTACCAGGTATTTATACATACATGTACTTTTGTAGCATGATGCACATGGAAGAAAAAGTGTGACATTTGCATAATCAATGTTTCACTCTAAATCAAGTCTAAATTAGGGGGTGAAAAAAAACAACAGCTTTTTCTGCATACAGACTGGATTCTGGTGGGAAAACATCAAAGATCCTCTGCCTACTTAATTTAGACCATGATTCAGCATCCAGCAGACAAATCAAACCTGATGTGCTTTTTTGTTTGCTTGCTTGTGTTCTCAGGTTAAAATGATACAACCTGAACTGACCTTGTAATCATCAGGTCACCGCCCTGAAGAGTTGGCATGCAACACGTATCACAGAGTAGAAGACGGAGAGAAGCAGTGCTGCCAAGTAATACAAGAAGAATTCATATTGCAAATGACATAACTTCACAATGAAGACTTTCACAATGGCTGAATTCCATGTGTTTTTTTGGACTATTTACAGTAAAAATAGAGTAAAACGGTCTTTTCTTAAGCCAAAATAAATTAGGCTTACAACATTTTGGTTTTTAAGGTTCCACCGGCACAGACATTTCCTATACCAGGGACAAACCCCTTATTTTTGGCTAGTCTTTCCTAAGAGGGGAAGCATGTTAAGATTCACAGCAGGCTACTTGGAAGAGCTGTGACAGCCCTTGCCACAAAGTCACTCCCAAGGTTATGCTTTCCCCGACGGAGGTTGATCTTGCTGAGGATATAATGCCTACTGATGTATTAGCAGCAAACATGTTCCATGCTGCAGGCTAAAAATGGATCTGGGCCTCAGTGTTGGACGGATGGGTAGAAGAGACATGCGGGACAGAGGCTGGGGGTGTATGGCTAAGTTTGAGGCTGGGCTTGGAAGCTGCAGCCACATTTGCCATAAGCCTCAGGCTATGCCTGGAGCCACACTTGAAGCAAGAAAATATTTTCTGCCCCCACCCATATAGTAAGAGGATTATGGAGCCCTCTGGGAATAGTATCCAGCAGGGTAGTAAATAAAACCATACCAAACATGCTGGTAAATGTTGTTGAAATACAAACATTTGAAATTAGTAAGGGGCTTTTAGCTGAAGTGGTCACTGTGGCATGTTTCCAAATCAAATGACCCCAACAAAGTATCAGTCTTGAGACTCAATTTAACCCCAGATATTACTAAATGCATACTAAATGCACTTGACTGTAACGTATTAAATAATATGGCTCAATTATTTCTCTTTTGCGCACAGCTTGAGACAATGACTGTGAAAAACCAAGACAAAGCACACACCGCATCATTTGGAATCTTTTATACAGGGCCCTATCCATCCAGAGCCCTCTCCATCCCCCCATAACCAAAGACATTAAAAGCATGGCAATGTGTTGTCACTTTTCATTACACAGCTGGCTGTACGTAGAGGGATATGCTACTGTGATGACTTTGAGGGATGGTGTCGTGTTCTGAGTAAATCACTGTGTCATTCTTCCGGGAGCTATGAAGGTCCAGAGCGCTGCTGCCTACAGTTAGCTAAGAGGATTTTTACCAACAATGGTGCTGCTGCCACTGGGCTGGGGTGATACTATAAATAGAGGCGAGATGACCAGACTGAGCCCAAAGTAATGATTTGGGTGTGTTCCTCATTTATATTTTAGAATGAGGTAAACATTATAATTTACATTCATGTTTGAGAAGTAAAAACCAGAACAGGATGCTGGAATTGTGGTGTTTATGGAAATGTGGATGTCTATTTAAGTCTAAGATCAAGGAGATTGACATGTGTAAAATACCGAAAGAGGGAAGTCAATCTTTTAAGGAAATTCCAATGAAGATAGGCAGCATTCAGAAAACAGTTTATCCTACAGAGCTAGCATATATAGTTAAGTACTTCCAAATGCCTTCTAATAATTGCACCAACCTTATTGAAGGTTATCACTAACGGCTGCAATGTGTCTGACTGACAAATTAAGGCAGTATCATACTACATTACGGTGTTTTAAAATGCAGAATAAATAATATATTTGAAACTAATTAATAATCATGATGAAGATATGATTTCCTTTTTGATTAGATGCACTGGTTGTGATTTTGTTGTCTTTTTTCCTAATGATTCAATTCTTCCCCCACACAGTACTGAAAATTATAAATGTCATAGTGTATGTTATGATCAGTGGGGGGAAGTAGTGAGCTGAGGCATTTCCTGCTGTGGTCGGCAAGAGGAGGAGGGGGCAGAGCTGGGGGCCTGGGCTTAAGGTACCAAATCCTCACTGGCAGACACAGACATCTCCTACAGTCTGACTGACGAGAGGCAGGAAGATAATAAAAGGACAAAGTATGGATAGGTGAGTGGGTGGTCTGCCAACAGAAACACACAGACAGACTGCTGTGCCTCCTGCAGCACCAGCTGAGCTGTTTTCCTCTCCGCTCCTGCTGACCCTGACCGCTCCTCCAACTGTCGCTGTATTGTCCATACACATGACATCTGATTCCTCCTACCATTTAAACCAACAATGTATCAACCTTTTTTTTTTTGCACTGCACAATCGCCGCTCCGTTTAAGAACAGATCACATTTCATGCTAAATTTGCAGATGTGCTGAAAAAAGGGCTCAGTGTCTTATAGAAAATAATGCTACAACTTTTTTATTACGTTTCACCACTGTAAGTAAAATATGAACTGCATACAGTGAGCTAAACTTTAGCATAAACACAAAGAATAGGAGAGTGTGTTTCGCAGGGCCTCTAGTCCAGTTTCTGGCATGGTCCTGTGTGAGGAGACGGAAGGGGGCCATGCTGGGGAGGCAACAAACAGTAATTTGGGCCCAGGCTGCAAAGATCAGCCAGCTAGCAAAGATATCTCCAGGACAGTAACATAAGACTGGCATCCTAAAAAAAAACATTTCACTTCACCTCTTCTCCAACCATTCTTCCCATCACACCCTCTCTCCTTTCACAGGCCTGCTAATATTAGTCAGGGTATTTGTCTGGTCATTAATGGCGACTTGAAGATGTCACCAATATCAGATAAATGTACCTTTTTATGTATTCGTTAGGCTCTTTTCCTGTCTTCCTCCTTACAGCGTTCTTTCATTCATCCTGTCTGGGCCATTAGGCTTGCTAAATTCCACTTTCTTGGTCAGAATAATAATGTATCTACAATCACTGCTGTTTCCAAAGGCTTAGGTACAAACTAAATAATCTCTATGCTTCAGTGCCCCAGGCATGTCTGGTCCCTGTCTGTAGTTTGTTCCTGCTGTGGGCAGTCTGAAATCAGTGATGATCTTGCTAAATTACATGATATGGTGATATAATTCCTTTCATGATTAGATGCTCTCCATCTCAGGGTCAATGTTACTATAATTCAACACAACTGCCAACACAAGCAGCCTATTAAAAATACAAATCATGATAATTCATCTGCTGGTGTGACACTGTTAATATCAGACATGTTATAAAACCTGGTAATCAGATGTCTGGACAAAGACATATGATACGAAAGCGCTCATTCTCTCTCACACGTTTGAAAAGGTCTAATTCAATACAGAAGTTAGGTCCTGTTTTTTTAGATACAGCTGATGAGATTTGAATGCAGAACATTGTCTGCATTGTCTTATTCTGTGTTGTTTTGTGAACGCTTCTTCCTGTTGTTTTCCTCTTTCTGTTGCTTTGTTTTTGTGAGCATCAGCAGAAAACATTCCCTGGGGATGGTGCAAAAAAGAAAGGGGGGGGGGGCAATGCTTAATTAGGACAGTTACCTCCAGGCTTTCTAACTGAATTGTGTCAACATTTCAAGTGACTTCTTTGAGACATATGGTCAAACGAGGTGTAAATCGAGGAACAGCGAGCACAACACAGACCAAACAAACTTATTCAAAGTCTCTTTGAAGTGAAATGCAAGAGAGAATAATACAATTTAGATTCTGTTTCATGAATTCAGAAATATGAACTACATGGGAACCCAACACTTCAGTCCTCTCTCAGATATTAAATATTGCTGACTAGGGGGTAAGTTAGCCAATTAATGAATAATAAATGGGCTGGAATGCAACATTGTCATATCCTTTATAGGTCAGAGTGTGCTGAGCCAGGGCTGCTGGTACCGCTGGGCATCATGGTTAGATATTAAAGCATGGCAATCTCTATACAACTGTACCTCAGAGCCAAGTCAGCTGCTGCTTCAACCACACTACACGCAACATTAACGACAAGCTGAGAGGGCACAATAAAAGTTTTTTCTCTCCTGTTTCGGCAACTTCTCCTTCCCATCTCTCGCACAGTATTTTTTGCTTTTATCGCTGCTCATTAATCTTCACTCGATCATCATTCCCCTCTCTGTGCACAGCGTAAAGGCAGTCTTTTTTGAAGTCTGAAACAGCATCCTGCTAGTTTTAGCCCATATCTTCTTGTGCTAGGCAGGTTTGTGGGCGCTGATGATGGAATAACAATGGACACTGCACTTTCGCAAACAACAACAACAACAACAACAATGGGGCAATTACAGAGTAATGCTTCACAACTTCCACTTCATTCTCTGTTATCTTTATTATTCAGCTCCTCTTGAATCAGCTATTAAAGGTAATTAAGCGATTCATCAAGTCAGTTTCAATTACTGGGAGCTTGACAACTGCAGATTACAATCAGTAGGGGTGAGGGAAGAGACGGGAGAGTGAGAGAGGGAGGCATCAAAAACGAAAGGAAAAAAAAGCAGAGAGAAGAAAATAGATTAGAAGTACCAACAGATCAGGCAGCACCGAGATGGGCAGGAAGCTTCCCTGGGTGTCACGAGGTACTGTATGCACATGATGGTTTAACTTGTATAGGCCATCTCCACTGAGCAACAGGCTTCATTGCTAGCAACCACTCATGTAGCTTTTGCTATGTCACTAGCTGGAGGTCTTTGACACTGCATCAACTACACTGTCATTACTCTGTCATGGACTGGAAGAATTGTAATGTTTCAGCTAATAATGAATAAGAGTGCTCTGGCTATCATAATGGCAATCATACTACAGATACAGTGACACATTTGCTGTCTGATAGTGGCGTCTCATAATATAGCTTGTAATGTAGGATCATAAAACGTTCTCACTAGAGCCCCTAATTTATGACAACCAGTTACCAGCTCACTTTTAAAATAAGGTGTGTGTTGGTGCTAAGAGCATTTCAGGATGAGCGAACATTACACCGGTCAAAGGACGACTTCAATTTATGTTTGGCTGATTAACCCTACTCTCTGCTCGCAAAGCTTTACACATTAGGTTAAAGAATAATTCATCTGGGAGAAACTATTATGCCTCTTAGTTGCCCATTAGAGTCAGGTTTAATACAGTCTTGATGGCTATCATAAGTCTCCCAGCGTAGGTTGTAGCTGCTGGACTAAATACAGAAGAAATGGCCGTAACATGTATCTCATGGGGTAATATCCAAAGGGACACCTTCATCCCTAAGGTTCCTTTCATCAGTATATTAGTAGACTCCACAAGGTTATGTCACTAATAATTTCATTTTAACAAGATATAGCTGTAAAGAATTGGATTGGAAGACAATAATTACATTTCAAGTTTCAATCAAAAGACCTGATAGTATGTCTAATTTCCCCCATCTCGTTTATATTTATCTGCACACCACTTTTTATTTAAAGAAGCATGTGAAGCCAGTGTGCAGGTGAGAGCAGAGGAGATTAATGTGAAGAGATTTCCCATGAAAACACATTTTACACATTTTTATGGGGTTTATTCATACTCATGACATTGTACGTTATATGTTGGCATTCCATCACAATAGAACTGCCTGGGCTCACAAATTATTTTTGGCTCCAACATGCACCATCTTCTTCCCTGGCGCCCATGCAGAAGCCCTGCACTCCATTACTTTATGCTTACATAATCTACTGGGAACTATTCACTTAGAACATAATGCAATGTATCTAAAAACAACTTAACATAAAATAGTGATGATACAGTAGTACACTGTTGGCTTCTTCCTAAAATTAACAAAAACACTTATGTCTTACTAACCATGAATATCACTAAAAACAACAATAAGTAAAGCTAATTTAAATTAAGCGAAACAAAGGAATGCAGCCAGCAGCACAGAGAAAATACAAGCAGGAAAGCAATAAAAAGGCAATAAAAAAACTCCCAAAACAATAAAAAGGACACCAGTCTGGACACTGTGCCTTTTTTTCTTCTCGTCCCTCATTTCAGTAGGCTAGGTCAAATGTAGATTTAAAAACTCGTAAATTCCCATGTTGAAGCAAACAATGAGTAAACACTTACCTACTTACCTACTATCTAACAACTAGTTCTTCTTTTTCTCTGAGGATGTGCAAATACTTTTGGATCTTGCTAATCAAACTCACCAGATAGTAGTAATCTGACAATATTACAGTTTCTCATACCATAAAAGTATTGGATTACGATTTATAAGCTTAAGACACTACTACACTACTACGACATATCATTATTCAGCATACTGTACTGTATGTTGCAATATTAACATAGAAAGCAAATGATGTATCACAAACATATGGAAGAATTTGGTGTTTATGTTCATCTTGTTGATCATAGATCTTCAATTCTTACCTGATTTTAAAAAAGTGGAATACCACAGATAAAACAACAGATTAAACCGATCTTTTTATTTTAATCGTAAGAATGCACACACCAGACGATTCAGTCAAGATGCAGGACCACACAACTGGCATTTATGAAACGATTTCAGAGTGGCAATTGACCCTTCACTAAGCCACGCCCCCTTTAGTTACTCGGACTTTTATCACGGTGCTGCCACTGTCTATAACTGCACTCCCTGGAAAAATCAAATTTTTCGTAAAAGTGACTTTAGAAAGAAGGAGACAGTTTAGCAGTTGCATTTTACATTTGAAGATTATATTCAGGCAGTAAAAGTCAACCACCGTATTACCTGACAACTGAGAAAGAGGACAACGATATTAAGGATCAACACTGTTCCTGTAAAGCTAGGTAGGTCTCTATTCACTACTACAGTACATTACAGTAGTTTTATATAACGTTACATTCAGTAGTAATTTAGCTAGCGTTTAGCTATCTAACCTTACACTAGAACAATCCACAGCCTACATTTTTCTGGATTTGTTTAGGTTTTGGAAAGGGAATAAATCGTACTTCTCCTTTCAATCTCTCTGGGTAGCGCTGTGATTGGCCAGCTGCGTATTCAGGGCGTGGCTTATCGAAGGGTCAATTCCAGCGCCATGGGATCTCACAGAAACTTGTGTGAGTGAAACCTGACTTCAGAAAAAAACAAATATGGCAGACTGTCGTCGTCAGTTGGTTGCACTTGTGTGTAATACTCTGAAAACTGTGGAACTCATGGCTGAGACATACAGAATCAGCATGGCTTACACACTTATAGCGCGAACAAGTAGACAGCACACAGCTGGTGACGCTTCCCAGTCAGCTTGCTCTCATTAGCTATTGCGGGTTTCTGCTCAGTATCCATGTTCCTTTCAAATTACAGGAAATAATCGGAGTAGCCATGATTTCTAATTGTAAAAATGAAACAAATTTACAATTTGAAATTAGGGAGACTCTGATCCAACCGTTAACATTAAGAATATCTGTAAAACCGGTCTGTAAAACCTTCACATGACAGGATCATTTGGGCACATAATCTGTTCAGACCAGCCTCAGATGGGGAACACTCCTGTGATTGTTAGGAGGGGTGACCGAAAATTGGCCCAATTATCCTCTAGTGTGGGGCCTGCATAAGTAATTTTTTAAGTCTTTAAGTATTTTGCATACATACCCAGATTGGAGGAGGCCCTTCCTTCTGCAGCCCTGTCTTTCAAACCCTCAGCTATAGACAGCTGCTGTTCATGGTACTGCTTGGCCCTCTCCAAGTCCTGCATGCAGCGAGCAGCATGACCAAGTCCTGCATAGGCTCTCATCTCAATGGACTTTTCCTCTAGCTCCTGGGCGAGCTCCAGAACGTGAGTATGGTAGGACATGGCCTTGTCAAAGTTACGGTGATAGTGGTAGGCACTGCCCAGGTTACTATAGGCCCGAGCTTCCTCTCGTTTATTTTCCAGGGCTTTGGCAATGCCCAGGTGCTGCTCATGACATTGGACAGCATTGTCGAAGTCTCCCATGGCAATGTAGACGGCCCCCATGTTTCCTAGCTCACGAGCCTCAGACAGCTGATCCTTGGACTGCTTGGCCAGCAGGACACACTGTTTGTGGCTGGCTAGGGCATTTGGATAGTCCCCTATGGCTGTATATACATGGCCCAAGCTGCTCAGCGCCATCGAAGCAGCCTATGGATAGAGAGAAAGATAGACATCCGGTAAGAATAACAGCAAGGTAAAAGAATATAGGCAAATGAAAAAAGCCCCATTAATTATACCCACATTCCATCAACTGTGAGTAATTGTGATGCCTTTGCATTAAACGTCCCTTTTGCCAGAAGAACTGTACATCAAATGGAAAAACAGAAGAAAAAACTCTAAATTCCCAAATGTCTAACGAGGCTTACTGCTCAGAGACCAGAACAACAACAAACAAAACCTGATTTGATTTTGTCTTTGCTAAGTAACAAGGGGGGTAAAGCATGAATCAGATCAGCGCCACAGCAGGCTTGTTTTAAAGCCGTCAGTTTGCCCACTGCAATCACGCTTCATGGCGTGCCACCACCAATGGAACAAAGACACTGCTAATCAGGAGGGAGAGGAGAGGGGTTTTAGCTTCACACCAGAGCTGTGGGGGGCCAACTGGCCGACTGCTGGCAAGGCCTCTTAAGCTAAGAACAGAGAGAACAATATTCTGTATTCTCTCATCCTCTCTATCTTTCATTTTCTCCACCTGTGAAAATAAAACTATACTAGACACTGGCTACAACTGCAAATGCAGTAAAATGGAGAGGTTTCACAAAATGCAGTCTTGACCTCCTATGTGACACTTCACTGCAGGCTTATTAACTGTTTATACGGAGGGTAAACAGCTGGGAATTGGGGTCAGCTGTCTTTGTGTGAACAGATGTTCAATTAATCATGCAGGGCCAGCTAATAAAGCATCTCTTTCCTGAGGTCCCACGCTGCATCCTCCAGGAAGGGGGTTGGATGCAGGCCAGCAGAGAGGACAGACACCCTGGCAGTGAAGGCCACAGAACTGCCCATCTTGCCTAGCTTCGAGCCTCAGCAGCAGTGATGACCTGGGTCAAGATGACCCAGCATTTAGAGCCAGACAACTAGAAAGTCAAAAGTCAGCTACAGTAATGGAAGAACTACTCAATGTAGTGTCAGCTGTTAAGATGTTTATGAAAGCACTTTTCATAGCCATATGATACAAAACTGGCCACTGACACAAAACTGATTGTTTTGGGCTTTAGAGGAGGCATGAGGCATCATCTTAAATTCGAAATTTACATAGCTATTATTCCACAAATACATTGAGATGTAATTTGAAGAAATGTGCCGTAGAGCAGGAGATATTTTTACTTTGCTCTTGCGCCACATTATAAAATATCGAGCCCTCTGAATAAATGAAAAGCAAGGGCATTGTTGAGAAAAAAAATCAATACAAGAGAACACTTCTGACGACGCTTATGAATACTCTTTTCTTTGAATCTTTCATACATTCTTTCTCTAAACACACACATACACCCCACCTACCTATCTTTCCTTCATTTCACATAGCTGCTGATGCCTGGAACCAATTACCTGCTGACATAAGGACTTCAAGCAGTTTGCTCAAGTTTAAAGACTCGACAAGGCATTATACAGGCCCAGGGAGGCAATTACCCTCCGTCACAACTGTTGCTGTTTCATGTTCCCAGATAGCCTATCTAGGGCTGCTCAATTACATGTGCCTTTTGAAGCTTTGCTCCATCTCTCCGACTCAAACTTCCAGTTTTCTGAGCAGAAAACTGAGAGTATTCCTCATCTCTGTCTGTCTTCAACCGAGCAGGGACACAGGGAGAGAAAGCGAGAGAGGGAGCGCAATCTTTCTCCAGTTGAGATGAGCTGCTCTTGTGATCAGTGTCCCTCTAAAGTGAGACTGCAACGCTGCATTTTCTCCTCAGATGGAAGCCAAGATAGGCAGATAATGAGGAGCCAGCCTTGCCAGTCACAGAGGATGCACTGTGTTTGGCTCAGGGACAGACACTGGGACCATATCTCTCTCACTTCTGACTGCATCCCTCTCCCTCCACTGCTCATTTTGACTCCCCACCAGTATCGCAAAATAACATTCCATCTGGGAGAGAAATAATTGCCTGAAATACATGTTTTTTTCAAATTGACTTCATTCTAATTTGATTCCATTTCTTTTCTGCACTTATCTTTCCTCCCTCCCTGTTCTTACTCTCTCCCCCCACTTCTCTCGATCCATCTGCAGAGTCAGATCTGATTGTGTTTACAGAGTCCAGCCCTTCTCCGGATGTGTGCTGATTTGATTAATCCTAACGCCATGCTTTATAAACTGTTGATAAACCGCTGGCTCTTATCAGCAAACACATTTTGCACCAAAGATCTCCTAATGAAAGGTAAACTAGTTCTGCCTGGGAGAGATGGGAAAAGGAAGAGAGAAGAGAGGCAGCAGGGGAGGGCTGAGATGACATGTTAATCAGAAATGCTTGGCTCGAACAACATTATTCCATTTCTTTCCTCTTACAAGGACAGCGACTAAGGATTCCTTGCTGATTCTCTTCTGTCAGCCTCCTCTACTAAGTATGTTTATATTCTGCAGCACATTAGAGAAATGGCTGCTTTCATAGCACATGCTAGAGGTAATGTATTGTACTTAGCATGATTAGGCCCTTATGTCATGCAGCAGAGCTGCTCTTGATGGCTGAGCTTGGTGCTATGCAAGATCTGTGACTCTGATCACCTGTTTTATGTCTTACCCTGAGATTCCTGCTTACCACTTCACTGATGTGTTGAGCGTTGTGGTTCTGCCTTACCTTGCAGCTGTGTGAATACTATGCCTTTGGAAATCAAAAACCTTATTTTGCTTTGTAAATATGAACTCTGATATACTCAAACTTCTCCACTGGTTTGACTAATTCAAACTGAACAGACATCAAGGTACGAATTGATGAAACCCGATGTTATTAAGATAACAGTTTTATTAATTGAATACATGTAAGTATTAGGGCTAACCCTGAATAGTCGAAGATTCGATGCTTCGATGGGCGGAACCTGATTCGACTGTCAATCTCACAGTCGAAGCTTCACAGCAAAACAAGGATCATGGCATTCTGGCAATATTGGGGTGCTCAACATCTGATTTTACAGTTTTCTCCCAATAAGTTAGTATACAGCCTATTACAATATACATAAATACACAATAATAAATAAATAAATAAAAATTTCAATAATAAATCCAAAATTGCAACCCTAACCCTGGATGGATGTGTAGGCTTAGAGTGTATGTGTGTAGTGGCAGACGAGGAGCCCCAGCTTCACTGGTGTTGTGGCGAGTTGTCCGCACCTTGCGGGACTTTCGGATAATTTATCACAAGTGATGAACCACACACAGAATATTCTATCATTTTTAAATAGCCGGTTTATTAAAATAGACCTGAGAGGAACCGGTCTTGTGCATGCTGTTGCTGGTGCAGCTTCTCAAGATTAAAGCGGACCCCCGGACACAAAAACGGACTTGACGATTCTGATTCGACTATGTAAATCCTTATTCAGGGACAGCCCTAATAAGTATACACATTTTCTGATTGCCACACGGAAACTGAAAAGGAAACTGAAAGGATGTAAAAGAGGGCATGGAAGTGAGAGAGAAGCAGGCTTGGGAGGTGTAAGGTGTTAAAGAGCCCACAGTTTGCCCTCTGTCCAAACAGCATGTCCTGCAGGGGTGTATGGCAGCCACTACTTCAGTAAAGTGCTGTTAATGGGATTATATGGGAGAGGAGTCAGGAGGGGATGGAGAACAGGTCTGATACCATTACCAGAGGGGTGGGAACAAACTCGTCTTTCACTGTCCCAATACAGATGTTAGGCTTTTAGCCTGGAAAAAGCAATTCTTTCAACTGGCAACTGCACTCACTGGAATATATGTATGTATGTAATAAATATATGTTACATTTCTCAATAAAACCTTGTTTTGAATGTGGCATAAAATTTCTAAACATAGGCAATGTCTAAAGCACAGTACAACAAATATAAATACATACATAATAAAATGAGTAAGGTTTATGAATAATCGTTTAATCAATAAAAGTCAGAAAATAGTGAAAAATGTCCATTGCAACTTCCCAGAGCTCAAGGGTGACATCTTCACATTGCTTGTTTTCTCTGACCAACTGTGAACATCTCCAAATAATCTCAATTTACAGTCATATGCCACTGAGAAAAGCAGCAAATCTTAATTTTAAGAAGCTGGAACCAGCAAATGTTTGTCAATTTTTGCTTGATAACTGACTAAAGCAATCAATTGTTTTCTGTTGATTGACTAATTTATTAATGTGTTGTTTTTGAGTAAACACTGCTATTTAATGAGACAAAAACAAAGTGAAACAAACAAGGAACTGTGATACCAGTCACTTCAAAAAGATGACCCTTGTGACTGAAATCACTCCAGCTCATCATATCAACACTACACACACATAATCTATTTATTCCATTGCACCCACTCAAACACACACACACACACACACACACACACACTCACACATATACACACAACAGCTGTCTAATTAAAAGGCAGTGCAGAGGGAAGGTGAGGAGGACCATGCACCAATGTTTCCCTTAACAAGCTGGGCTCAGGCAGCAAGTGGATGGCTGGCAGGGAACAGAATCACACACTAGAGGGAGAGGGAGCAGGGCGTGGGGGGCGTGGGGGGTGGGGGGTGGGGGGGGCAGATAAAAGGCTACGGGATAGATCGTGTTTGAAGGATGAGAGCAGAGAATGACATCCCCAGGGCGAGGATGTCTTCAGATCTGAGTTCACCTGCTAGCGATGCATTTTGACAAAAACGGAAACATCTCAACTGTAATAAACTCAAGAGACGAACAGGCCAGTCAGAGAGGCTTTCAAAGGAGCTTGAAAGATGCTTTCTTGAGGTACATGTTCTCTGTGTGAGTGTGCGGGGAAAAAAACATGTATGTGCATGTGTGCATAAACGAGAGAGAAAAGGGGGTTTTATAGAGGAGGCATGCTGGTGATTTCTGTGTACAGGTTGGGGGCGGGGAAGGATATGATAAAATAGTCAGCTGGTTTTATGGGTGTATACTCCATTCTCACCCTCTTGTGTTTGCACACAGATACAGATCCTATGGGAGCCACCATTAGATCAGCCAA